GAGCGCTTTGTCACTGCCGCGGCGCCGCGTTCCCTGGCGAGCGCGGGGTGCCGGCGCCGGCTCCCGCCTCGGGGGGCCTCTGCCGCTCGCTGTGATGGGCTCCAGAGAGAAGGGAGGACATTTTGGGTCTCCGAGAGGGAGAGCGCCCTGACTCCTCCTTGTGAGGCAGGTCTAGAGCGCTGCTGCCCCGGGAGAAATGCTCGGTTAAGGAGAGAAGCAGCGTGCTTTTCTTGAGGCCGGCTTCTTCCTTGGATCACCTCCCGAGTTGTTTTTTTTAAGGCAGCATCCCTGACTAAGCATTCATTGCCTCTTAGCTTTTTTGGATTGGCATGTATTTGGTGTTGAGTGTTTCCAAACCCTGTTTTGGCTGCAGATTTTGCACTGCACTTAAAAGACTGCAGGAGGGTGCATCTCTCTAATAGGTTTGGTAAGGTCAGAATCCAAGCAGTGGCTCTCAGCCTGTTTTCTGCCAGGACCCATTTATAAACATCCATGGCCAGTCCTGACCCAGTGCCTCCCACTTCCCACCCGCTGCCCCCAGGTCCCGGCACTTAGGTTTGTAGGGCTTGGGGATCCCCAAGCAGCCCCTTGCAGGCTGGAGCTCTGACAACTTGCAAGGGAGAAGCCAAGTGTGGATGCAGCTTTATCTGTGTGAATATACTGTTCACCAGTACACTTATTACAGTATGTGACAGAGAAGAGCTATACTGCCAAAAGGTAGATTTATATTAATCTAAGTTTGTCCACATTAAGGACTGCACTGGCATAATTCTGTTGGTAGAATTATATGCGTAAGCATCTTAATATTGTACCACTACAAATTCTTTGGGTAGATCAAGCCTAAAACAGTATTTGTTGTAAATGATGGTATAATCTCATAGTAATTCACATTGTTGTTCATTTACAACTGAATCAAAAAATTGTTCATTTACAATCAAGAAGTGGTGTATCATTTCAGATATTTACTAGTACTGTGAGTTTTTAATTAAAACTTTGCAGATCATAAATGTTTGACTAAAAAAGCTCAAAGAAATCTGCTAAGTTACAGTGAAACATGAAACATTCTGGAATAAAATGTGTCACCACAATAAAATCTTCAGTGATTTCATATTAAGGTCTTTCACTGACATAATAGATCAGGAGTGGCTAACCTTTATCATTCAGCCTCTGTGTGGGGCACAGAAGATCAGGGAGGGAACAGGCAGCACAGTGACAGATGGGATAGGGAGAAGAGAGTAGAGAAGTAAATTAAGCATGGCGTGCAAGGCAAGGAGAAGAAAGCAGAGCAACAGATTGAGCCGGTAGTAGTGTGTGAGTTCAGGCAGTAAGGAGTTGGGATGGTACTCTGGGAAGATGCAGAGCTAAATTTGTGGTATGCCTGCAACATGTTGACCCCCCACTGTAATAGATCACAATTTCTTAAGTTAGCTGCTAAGAAAATTTAGTGAAGAATTTGCTAGAAGTTCAAATTTGAGATATGCATAAGGCGTGTACAAGAATTGGCTAAAGGGAGGTGGCAATATTAGTGAATTTTCTCAAAGTTTGGTCTGAAACTTCTCTTTTAAAATAAAATTAGGAGGTATTGTTGATGCAAAAGAGCATCATATTATCTTCAGAAAGAATTGGCTTGCCTTGAGTACTGGAGAAATGGGAATAAAATGAAATGTAATAGTACAATGCCATACATTTATGAACTAACAAGAATGTCTGTTAATAAACTATGGAAGGTTGGAAAGAGAAGAAAGATCTGGGTATATGTTTTGATTGCAGGATGAAGATGAGGCATCAGTGTGAAACATCCAAGAAAATGGCAGATCTGGCTCCAGAATATATAGAGAAAGAAGTTTTCAGTAAGGGTAGGGAAGTATGAATGAAATTGTGCAAAGCATTAGGAAGACCTTATGTAGAATACTGTGCATGATTTTGATCACTCTCATATAAGAGAGACTAAATAGGTGCAGCAAAAGGCTACCAGGAAGATCAGGAACATGACACTATTTGAGTGAAAGATCTTGGCTTGTTAAGCATAGCAAAAGGAAGACTGAGGGTGGATGAAAAAGCTTTTGCTTCCCAGATGCTTTTATAAAAAGGACGGTTTGTAGCAGGAAATAAATATTTAAAGCAAAAGGCAGATTTGGCACAAAAACTAGTAAATTGTAGGCTGGAAATTGAAAAAGGAATCTAACCATCGGGGGATTATGGAACGGCCTTTCAATAGAAGTATCTGGAAATAAAACAAGGCTTACAGTGGAGATGGATAAATTCATTAAAGGGATTGTAGTTGATAATGTAGTTGTCTATGACAGCAAAGGACTGGATTCTGTGACCCAGGAATTGTCTTCCAGTCCTATGCTCCTGAAGTACTTTGAAGGTTTGCTTAATAGTACATTACTCTTTACTACTTAGATGGGTGAGAGCTGGCTGCGGTAGGTGGCTTAGATGGGGGAGAGGGTGGCTGCAGTAGGGGGAATGATATAAGAATATTGATGGATCACAGACTCAGTATGAGTCTGCAGTATGATGCAGCTGCACAAAAGGTGAATACAGTTTTGATGCATTAGGTGCAAGATGCAAGGAATTCTAATGCATCTTTACTCAGCACTAGTTTGCCCTCAATTAGTGTATTGGGTGCAGTTTTGGGCTCCATATTTTAAAAAGGACATGGGGTAGTAAGAATCTATAGACCAGTGAAAAAATAAAGGGCTTGGAAGGCAAGTCGTATGAGGAGAGGAGCGTGTTCAGCTTGCTGAGAAGACAGTTAAAGGGAGGACATGATAGCCAGTCCTTCAGCTATTTGAAGACTGCTGCCATAAAGAAGAGGGAAAACACCTTTTCTCACTTGCTGCACAGAGCAGGATGTGGACCAATGGCTTGAACTTGCAGCCAAGTAGATTGAATATCAAGAACAGCTTCTGTACTGTTAGAGCAGTGATGCAATGGAAAAGACTGCCGAGGGAAGGTGTGGACTATCCATCACTAGAAGTGTTCAGGTAAAGGTTAAACAAGCATTGATCAGGGCTAATCTAGAAGTAGCTATATATATATATATAGTCAGGGGTTTTCAGCCTTTTTGCGTCAGTGTACCCCCAACAGCTGGTTGAGAAGGAAGGAGTCCCCCAGCAGCCAGTTGACCGGGGGTGGAAGGACATATGCCCCTTGCCATATATAAGAGAAAGAGTTAAGTTTTTGACATTCCCAAAGCATAGACTTTAAGAACAATGCTAAAAATTATGAGTTGGCAACACTGTGCTACATGTGTTGGGCGGGGGCAGGAGGAGTAGTCAACTTCTGCAGAAGCATTGGGGGTTGGCTGCAGCCAAGGCTAGGGATTTTGAGTGGGGTATGCCAAAGGTTCTGGGGTGTGGGAACCGGTGTGGTTCTGGAGTCCGGCCAGTGGACTGACTGGGGTGTGCCAGTGGGACTAAAATTTGGAGCCTCCTAGCTAGAGAGTGTTACTTATCTGCAGGGATCCAGGTTTTCCATTCACCATGGAAAAACACAGTAAAACCAGGGATTTTCTCCTTTTAAGGAGAAAAACCTGGGATTTGATCCTCTTTAGGAGAAAAGTGTGGGAAATGGTGGGTTTCCCATTTGCAAGGGGCTGGGGGGGGAGTGGGAGAAGGGCAATCAGTAGTGGGTACCATGTGCACATGGCTGCCAGGCAGCCTGGAGAGCAGCTCCTGCAGGTAAGTCGGGGGGAGGGGGAGGAATTGAGACCCTGGGAGGGAGGGAGGGAGTTGGGCTGGGGCTGTGCCCAGCTGGGGCAATGTTTGGGGTCCAGGGCCAGAATGTGCAGCCACAGGGCCTGGGCAGGGAGCAGGATAGGACCACAGGCAACTCGTCCTGAGGAGGGCAGAATGACTCCCTGCCACTGCATGCGCTCTTTTGGGGTGGGGCTGGGGCTCCCCAACTTACCGCCCTCCCCCTGGGGCTTCTGGCATGGCAGGGCATAGCAGGGCAGGGAAGCTCGATGCTGCCACCACAAGCCCTGCAGTGCCATGGCGAGGCGCCCTCTGTCTGCCCAACAGCAGCAGGGGCAGCAGCGCATGGTTGTGCCCCTCGCTGCTGCTGGGCAGGCAAGGGGTGCTTCGCTATGGCAGTGCGGAGCTCTCAGTGGTGGCAGTAAGCATTCCTGTTCTGCCCTGCTGCACCGGATTCAGACCGTTGGACTGTGGAGGTCCTGGGGGAGGGCAGCAGGGCAGGGTGCCTGAGCCCACAATGGGCAGCCTGCATTTGCCCTTCCCTGCCCCCTGCCGCACACGGGTCCCACTCTGGCCATGGGTGGGGATCCTGGGCTTCTCATTCTGCTTTGCTGCAGCAGTCTCTGCCTCCTACATGCGATAGCAAGGGCTTGGGCACAGCTGTGGCAGGGGCAGGGGACTGTAGACCCAAGTTCCTCGCCCTGTAGCCCTGGCAGCTGGGGGACCCCTCTGGCAGTCCTGGAGGGCATGGGGGGCTGTAGCAGGGCTAGGGGTCAGGAATGAGGGGCAATGGCATGGGCAGGGCATCGGCATATCGGAGCTGCTCAGCACCAGCGCCACAAAGTAGCTGGGGGTGGCGCAGGGGGGACAGCTGCAGCCATACCCATGTCCTGGTGAGTGAAGGAGGCAGGGGAGCTCTGATTTTCCATGATAATGAACCCAAAATAAAACACCAAGATTTATAGATAGTTAGAATTTATTTTATTGTAGTGATTGAGGCACTGGTAAGCTTCCAAATTATTTTAAAATTGTAGATATATCAATGCAATATTGTGTTTAACTGATACTTGTATAGATAGTGGTGTTTCATTTTAATCATGAAAAAACATGGATTTAGGGGTTTTAAATCAGACAATTTGTGTTTGTTTTGTGGGTTGTTTTTTGTTGGTTTTTTTTTTTTTTTTAAATCTGAGAATTTGCAATTTTTAAACAGGGAAAACTAGGGTCCCTGTTTATTTGCTAAGGGTCAGATTAAGCTGCACATATGGGATCAGGAAATAAGTTTGTGTGGTCAGATGGGTACAGTTTGGGGTGGGCGTGGTGCCTGCTTTTGTAGGGCTGGGTGTGGCATTTTTCTTTGCATCTCTCAAGCCTATTTTAACAATCCTTAGCTATAAGACTTGGGCCATTATTGTCCCCTGCCTCACCTATGGCAGGCTAGGGTGTTATGTCTTTTGGTTGTGTTAGGACTGACTGTAGTTTTACTAATAGGTTAGACCATGGTTTTGTATGGGACGATTTGAATAGGGCTGATTCTGGGGAGGGGGGGGGGTTGACTAAATCATTTGTTCTCAACCTTTTTTGTATCAGGACCCATTTGTAAACATTGATGGCCAGTCCTGCCCCAGTAAATAGTTTAAGTAGAAAACCACTACCTCTAGGCCCCAGCCCCGCAGTGTGTAGGGCATGGGAGGACATGTGTTCCCCCAGATTTGTGTACTCACATCAGGCATGGGTCTGCAACCTGGCTGGACTGGCACAGGCAGGAGCAGCCTCTGCAGCCCAGCAGACGTAACTTGGCTTGGGAGGGCAGAGCAGGGCAGTGAGACTCGTTGCTGCCACTGCTGCCAGAACCTGTGTGCCAGCCATGCTGCCAGCAGCACGGGGAGTAAGAGGGCTGTTCTTCCCTCACCTTTTCCTGTTGCCAGCTGTTCCTGCTCCAGCACCCAGCCGCTGGCTGTGGTTCTTCCCTGCCAGCATGGCCTGGCCTCCAGAGAGGAGCTGGGGTGGTGGGCAGTGTCACCTGTTCCCCCCACCCCCAACCTTCCTGATGTGTTATCTATGACCCCCTTGCCCTTTCTGCCCCATCGACTTCACATTGCCTGGCTGCCACCTGCATGCGTCTGTGTGCATGGTCCTCCTGCCTGATTGTCCTCCTCTTGTTCCCCGCAGCCCTATGCAAGTGGAACTCTGCCAGCCTGCAAGGGAAAACCTGTGGTTTCCCATGTTTTTCTCCTTTAAAGGAGAATCCATTTTTAAAGTTTATTGATCCATTTTTAAAAATTTCATATATTCTTGCAACCCACTTTTGGGTTATTACCCACAGGTTGAGAAATGGCCTCTGAAGCTATCTTCCAGCCCTACTTTTCTATGATTCTAACTTGTAGCAAAATGTAAATTATCTTTATATAAAAAAGCGGCTTTTTGTGTAGAAATGCATTTTTATTTAGGGGAGGGGGGGAAACCATGGCTACCCTCCATAGCACCAAATAACTTGGTGAAAAATAATACATTATGATATTTCAAACAAAGGACTTTCCTATCCTTGCCTGCTGCCACTTAGTACTGTGGCTTACCCATCACAGTGGGGCTTGAACAGGAGAGTGTATGTAAGGCAGGGTTGGCAACAACTGGCATCTCAGGCGGATCCAGCTTACAGAGATGGGGGAGGAGGGGTGGCATTAGTGGCAGATCTGTGGCAGGGGCTTCACTTGTTTGACTGCAGTTCAGGCACAACAGGAAGCTGATTTGGGGTTCAGTGTTGAGGAGCTGTGCCCACACCACATCTAGGGGTGGGGTGAAGCAGAGGCTGTGTGGGAATGTTCCACCATCTCAAACCCAAGCCAGGTTGTTCTGGCCTACAGCTCTGAAAAGTTCCTGACCAGTGATGTAAGGCACCAGTATCAAGAAATATGAGGTTTTACTTATAGGTATTCAGATAATTTTAACCAGGGTTTCCTATGACATAATCTCTTCCTCTTTTGTCTTCCTTCCTTCCTTCCTGCCATCCCTACAAACTGTCAGGCTCACAGTAGATAATACCATATTTTTTTTATATATAATCCACACTTTTTTACCCCCAAATCAGCTGGGGAAAATTGGGATGCGCATTATATGCGAGGAAAAGAGCTCCCTACAGGTCTAGAAATTTGGGAGGGGAGCAGGGAGACAGAGTGGTGCTAGCATTAATTGGTATAGCTCTTTGAGCCACCGCAATTAATGTTGTCAGTAAATGTAGTCACCGCTCCCTTCCCCCACATCCCAAATTAAAAATATATGCATGACCATATAACACAGTATATACAGTGATAAAAGTAGCGTAAATGGATACAGCATAACATGGGCTTTCCAGCAAGACCAGGCATACACATACCATATCAGTAGAATAATACACAAGAAAACATTCATGACACCCCACAACCTCCCAGAATGTAATGGTGTTTGTGATGCGTTGTATTTGGGGGGGATGTTATACTTGAGAAAATATAGTATCACAAATTGTACGTAGTACAATGCCCGAACTGTCAGAAAATACTGTTTGCCATCTCTTGCTGGTTTAGTAGCATCTGACTGGAGAAAACAAACCTCTTGCTTCAGTCTCTTTGAGATTTAAAGTGAAATATTAGCTTTACAGGATGACCTATAAAGGAGCACAATCCTATTGTACTCCTTTTGTGGGGGGAGGGAGGGAATATAGAACAATTTCTCTAGCCTGATTTGTAGGACTATTAGCTTATTTATGCTGGAATTCTGAACAGACAAGAATTTTCAGATGAGAGCATTAGAAACAAATTGGTATTGGTTTAAGAATACAGGATGATGGATTGTGAATAAAGTATGTACGAAAGCTGATTTCTATCACATTTTCCCTTGAAACTACATCTACTCAAGAACAGTTGTCTTAATATCTCAGCTCCTTTTGAAAGAGTTTAATTGACACTCTAACAATATTGTAGAAAAAGTAAGTGAAAATGCTTGTATGATAGTGCTAAGGCTGTGAAAATACTGGGCAATATACCTTAGCAGTATACCTAGATCAAAATTGAGTAACCAAAGTTAAAATATTTTTGTATGCATTTTAAGTTTGGATACAAGGCTGTCTATATCATATTTATTTGCACACCATATGTATACCTTTTTTCTGAAAAAACAGCCATCCAGAATGAAGGTGCATGTGTTTAAACAAGGAAGCTGATTTCTGTGCCTGAATAGAGACAAGGGCATTGGCTCCTCCAGGGCCAAATGTTCTGCTGCATGGAGAAGGGAAGCAGTTCCCTTATCAGTATTATGTTCTCTTCCCTTGCTGCTTTGCCATCAACTACAGGTTTAGCATTCTCACAGCCACTGCTGTTACCATTCTCAAAGGCTTAATTGGACAAGGGCACTGGGAGAATTGAATCTGTAGCTCTTGGCCTTGCAGCAGGGTGAAGGGGAGTAACACTCAGGGACACCATCCTGTCCCTGCTCCATGCTGGTGGAGAGTTCAGCCGCTGGCTGAGATGGTGCTGTGGCAGGTAAGACTGAACAAAATCTTTTCCTTCGTTCTGTCTTCTGCCGTCCTATAACAAAGTGTATTTCTTATTTATGGAGATGTGGTATGTGAATAAATACGGGTATATTTCCAGATGTGGCACTTTTCAGTTTGGCTGACAATAAATTCTTTGGTAATTTTGTAACTAGATATGAGTTTTGATATATGAAAACCTTAAATTTTCTAGGGTTTTCACACTCTTGTATTAAGGGCCTGAAATGCTAGTGTCTACAGTTTCCATGTTATACAAATTTATGGGTTATCAATAGATTTCAATCCTCAGCAAATTGTGTGTTTGAGAAGCTTACACAGGCTGACTGTGGGTGGTGGATGTGCTGTGATTTATGCTGAGATAAGTTTAGCTGTTGAATTCAGCAATTATGTCACCCAACTTTGCTTTTTTTTATTGGCAGATGTTTGTAGATTCCTCTGCAGGAGAAAGGGGTGAAGCTGATGATAATAATAGGAAACAAGGAATATAGCAATAGAGATGGATGAACAAGCCCTTCTAGGGCTAAACCCTAATGCTGATGCAGATTTCAGGCAAAGGGTAAGTTTGTTTAAGCTTTCTTTCTTTCACAATGGCTGTTACTGCAGGCACTTAAGCTGCAGTCTGTTGGTCTAATGATTTGTCTGATTATTTGAATAAGTGCAGGGAGTGTGCATATATAGAAATTAAAATTGTAGTTCAATAATACATGCAAGTTGAAGGGCTTAATTTTACTTGCATACTCTTCCATTATTATTTATTTTTTACTTATTGCCAGACTGGGTATAGTTTCCTTTCAGCTACTCATCCCTGTATGTCTCTTCATTCAGTTATTTAACAGAAATGAAATTCCTTAACTTGTTTTGTTTCTGCTGCAGTAAATAATCTGGGGTGGGGGGGAGGGTGTTGTTGTTAATATGTACCTTAAACTGCAGCAGTTTTATAACCAGATTATTTTCAGACCTCTAGTTGTGTTAATCAGGAGGTAGATGATAAAAGTGTAGCTCTTCAGCTTCCTTTTCAGCTTTAGCTAACTTCACTCTAAAACTACACCTTTATAATACAACTATGCATAGCCTCAGTGCAAGGTTAAAACTTTTTCTTTTACCACACTTTTAACCTATATATCAGGAAATATCCTGATAAAGCAAATGCTGGCTCTGTTAATGCTTTGTTTTAATTTTCAGTTTATTTCTGAGTACTGTAAGATTTCTTGTTTAGAGGTTCCTTGCCAACAGGGGAAGCTATTACAATAAGGCAGATATGACAACTGGACTGCTAGGGAGATGTTGTTCAAGGTTAACATTGAGGCAGAGCTTGAAAAGCTTGTGGATGCTTCCATCCAGATGATGTGGCAGGGTAGATTGTTTCAGATTGAAGTGATTCAGATAATCAGTATTATTCTTTTGATGTAGTTGTTTTGTTAAGAGGTTGATTCTCATTGGTTGATAACAATGATAGTTCCCTTGGAGAGTGTGCTGTCTACATTTTTAAAGCAATTCTATCGCTTGAGCTGTTTCTTCAGGCACTTAAGTTTTACATATTTATCCCAGAAAATGGTGTATGGTGCCTTTATACTGCTATTTTACATGAGATTTGAGTTGAGTGCTGTTACGATGAAAATGTGAATTAATGGATTCTGTACAAAAATAGCATTTAAAGTTGTTTGTTAATTGAAATAAAACAAGGGGAAAAGTTTACCAAACCATGGATTACTTAAATCCATTTTTAGTTGTATTATCCATGGAGTTAAAATAATCCTCTCCAACTTGGTTCTGTTAATAGTTGAAAGAGGAAAGCAAACCTTCCTGTGCCTTCAATTCCCAGTTGCTTCTTAACATACAAGCTTTTTGTGCATTTAGTTCAGCTGAGTGACAGGATGTGAATTGAATCATACAATGATGGAAAAGGAGGGCTGGAAGTGACTTCAAGAAGGTGTCTTGTCCAGTCTCCTGCTCAATGCAGGATCATCCATGTCTAAAGCATCCTGGGCCGTGTGTAGATGAAATGAGGGGTGTGTGCTCACACTTCAAAGTAGGCTAAATGCTTTTGCACCACTGCCTCAGCAGTGTATTGCGCATTAATTCCACCCGCTCTGTAGGAGCTTTGGCAGCACAGCAAGCCTTAAATGACTTGGGGCACAGCAAACTAAAACTCCGAGTTTTAGTTTGCTGCACCTACAGCTGTTGAGCAAAGCACCGGGCTTCGTGCTGCTCAGGGGCTCGGCAGGAAGCCCTGCAGCAGCCCGGGAAAGCAGGCTCTGTCTAAGAAAAGCGGTAAGTCTGATTTTCCCCCACACCCGCAGCCTGCCTGCCTGAGTTGTATGGGGCCCCAGTGCTTCCCTCTGTGGCTGCAGTGCCCCCCGGGACTGCCTGAGCCAGGTGCCTGCGGGAGAGTGCTGGGGGTGGGGGGGGAGTAGGGTTAGGGGGGGGAGCCAGCCCCTCTGTTTGCCAGCAGCTTGCCCTCCCCACCACCAGAGAGGCAGGGAAGTGCAGGGTGTGTGCAAGACCCGGGGGTCCTAAGGGCCCTAAATAGAAGCAGTGGGTTTAGAGGACATGCCTCTAGACAAGGGCTTGTGTAACCGAGGCTTTCAAACTTCCTAAAGTCACAGGACCCTTTCATATCACTTCTGTAAAACACCTACCCTACCTAAAGACAGGCTTGGAGCCAGGCAACCTGGCCTTGCAGTGGTGGCGTACTGCCTCACAGCCCTTTCCTCCATTACCCCCAATCTTTGTGGAACCTCCAATGCCCTGTTGTGGAACCCCAGGTTTCCACAAAGCACAGTCCAAAAACCACGGGTGTAACCTGCTCTTAAACTTCCAGGGATGGAGATTCCACAGCCTCTCTCTGTCCCAGTGTTTAGCCATCCTCGTAGTGAGAGAGCTCTTTGTATTGTCCAACCTTAAATTTTCCTTTTTGCAAGTTAGGATCATTACTCTTTACCCTGTCCATCGCAGCTGCAAAGTACAGTCTTTCCCCATCCTCCATATAACTACCCTTTAAGTATTTGAAGCCTGTTTATTGAAGCTTCTCTCAGTCTTCTCTGCTCCAGACTAAATAATCCCGGTCCTTTCAGCTCATCATCATGTTTCCCAGACCTCTAACAACTTTTGGTGTCCTCTGCTGGACTTTTTTGCTTGAAGTTATCCCTTATGAAGTATAGTATTCAAACCTGGACACAGTACTGCAGGTGATGTCTTGCTGAGACCAAATAAAACAGAAAGACCACTTTCCTTAGCTTGGAAGTGATCCTTCTTTTATACAAGCTAGTATGGTACTATTTTTTTTCCCCAATAAGGGAGCACACTGTGGACTTACATTTAGTTTATTGTCCACTCTAACCCCAGGTCATTTTCTGCAGTACTGCAGCCTTGCCTGTCATTCCCTGATTTTCCATGTTGTTGTGAAGTCCTCCACTTCGGATGGAACACTTGTCCTTCTTCAATTTCCTTTGATTGTTGTTTGTTTTTTGGACCATTTCTTCATTTTATCAAGGTTATTTTGAAACCTAATCCTAACCTCCAGTGTCTGCAACTCCACGCAGCTTGGTGTCATCTACTATGCGTTTAGTAAGCATGCACACTCAGGCCCATTTTCCAAGTCATTGCTGAGGCTGTTAAACAACAATATCAAACTCAGGACAAACCTCTGGGGAACACCATTTGATACTTCTCCCAACTAGACATTGAGCCATTGATGATTGCTTGTTGAGCACAATGATCTAAGTTATCAGTACTTTAAGCTACTCTGTATTTCCTTAGCTTGCTAATAAGAATTTTGTGGGAAACCTGTGCTAAAATCAGGCTATATCACATCTATTAGATTCCCCTTATCCCCAGAGCATGTCTCCTTGTTACAGAAGGAAAACAGTTTTTTTTCTCTGCATCAGCATTTGAGGGTTGCTGCTATTGAAACATAGTTTAACACTTCAATACGCTCCTGCTTCAAGTGTTTATGCAGTGACTGGTTTTAATTCAGTGCTCTGATTTTCTTTTAAACAGCTAAATGGTATGTTTCTTGCCTAAGTTTTGATTACATTAAAGCGGTTTTAAGATTCATAGATGTTAGGGGTTGGAAGGGACCTTACAGTTCATTGGGTCCAGCCCTCCTGCATTTGGGCAGGAAAGACTGCTGGGGTTAAATGACCCCAGCAAGGTGTACATCGAGACATTTTTAAAAGATCTCCAAGTAGGTGACTGTGCCACCTCTAGGGGGAGTCTGTTCCAGCTCTTAGGCACTTGAACCATAAAGAAGATTTTCCTTATGTCCAATCTGAAGCAGTCTTCATTCAGTTTGTGTCCATTGTTTCTTGTCTTCCCCTGGGGTGCCTTAGTGAACAGGTGTTCCCCAGGCCCTGATGTGCGCCCCTGATATACTTATAGGCTGCCACCAAAGCCCCCTCTAAGTCGTCTTTTCTCCAGGCTGAACGGTCCCATGTCTTTCAGCCTCTCCTCATATGACCTTCTCTCCAGACCTCAAATCATGCGCTTGGCCCTCCTTTGGACTCTCTCAAGCTTCACCACATCCTTCTTGAAGTGCAGCGCCCAGAATTGGACACAGTACTTCAGCTGCAGACTCACCAAGGCCAAGTAGAGTGAAAGGATTACGTCCTTAGTCTTGCTTGAGATGCATCGGTAGATGCATGCCAGCATTTGATTCATTCTGCCAGCTACGGCATCGTATTGGTGGCTCACGTTTATTCCGTGGTCTATCACAACCCCTAGGTCTCTTTCAGTTGTGGTGCTGGCAAGCGTAGCACTGCCAAACCTGTAAGCACGTTGTAGATTATTCTTTCCCAGATGGAGTACTTTACATTTCTCCATGTTAAACATCATCAGGCTATGATTCTTCCCACCTCACAAGCCTGTCCAGGTTAGCTTGTATCCCCAGTCTGTACTCGAGCGTGATCGTACTTCCCCATAATTTGGTGTTGCCCACAAACTGCCAGTACACTTTTAACACCCGAATCCAAGTCATTGATGAAGATTATATACTGTTTGGCCTATAACACTAGGCTCTCATTTTAGATTTAATTTTAAACAGACTTCTTTTTAAAATAAAAACATACTTAAATCCAAAAAGCTAGTTTTTAATTTTTAAGAAATCCATTATTTTTGTCTACAATGTGTATTTGATGAACTCGAAGAGTAAAGCTTTGTTTGAGCATAACTTCTGCAGTTTACATTGTGCTGGACATAGAATCCTGTTGGAAACTTCATAGTCTGTAGCAGGTTATGCATATTGTGTATTAAGCTATTAAGATACCTCCCCAGTAAGAGGCATAAACTTTGAGTGACAGATCAGCCTTATGAATCTGCTGTTTCATCTGTCATGTGATGCAAGCCAAGCATTCAAAAGTTGCTGTATTTGTTATATTTTCTATCCTTTATTAGTTCTTAAAAACACCTGTTGGCATACTTTTCCTCAGGGTGGGTAACAATCAATGATTTAAAAAAAAAAAACAAGGATTTTTTTATTTAAATCAGATTTTTTTTATTTAATTGTATTTTTTTGTTGTTGATGCTTTTTAAAAACAAAGAAACCTATGTAAAGATAGTATTAATTTAAAGTATGTTGGGACTCAAAGATATCATCATGAAATAGGGATTATAACTTTTAATTGCATATTATTTGAAACGATATATTCATGTAACCTTTTTGAGAAAAGTTTTATAAATAGGTCAGAACAGGCCATGGACTCTGGGAGGGTTCCCAGAGCCCCCTCTACAGGTTAGAAGAGATTAAAGAAAACCATTCTACCCAGTGGAACTTAGTGCTCAGTCTAGAAGATCCCATTAAGCATCTTTGTGATCCTTGGGTTCAGTTCTCAAATTGTGGATTTGTATCTCCAGAGAGAACATCCTTGTTAACAACAATACATGGAGATGAGAGATAACAGACCTAATTACCCTATCCATCAACCCTATTGTGTCTATGCAAGTTTGTGTACACACAGTCAAGCCCTTATCTCTCTCTCTAAAAGTGAAAAGTTTCAAGAAGTTAAGCAAATAGAGCATTGTTGGGAGTGGAGTAGATCTGGGCAAGGAAGAGGAGTCTGGACATAAATACAAGGAGGGAGGGGCAGTGGAAACAAAAGAGAAACATTTTGAGCAGAATATTCCAAAAGTCTTGAGAGAGAAGTTTGAGTATAGCCTCTCCATTGATTTGAGATCTAGTGAGGGAAAGGTATGGTAGAATGGAAAACCTACCATGGCAGCAGGCTTGCTATGCAGTAAAAGAGACCCTGTTTGATATAACCTCATTAAAATATTCCCAAACAGCAAGAATGCACTTTTTGTAGAAAACAATGATTAAATCGAGGCTTCCTGGCCAGTAATTTAAATCTTGATTTTTAAATTGATTTGATTCAAATCAAATCCATCCTGCTTTTCCTATAGAATGAAAAAACTCTGGTGAAACTGTGAGTTTTCTTTCTTTCTCTTCAGATCTTAAGCAGTTAGCGCAGGGTTCAGCAGCCTTTAAGAATGGTGGGCTGCCACTTGCAACTGCCTAATTAATGCCAGAGGTTGCCAACCCGCTTGGCAGTGCTCCAGCCTTCCCTGCTCTATGCTGGGGGCTGTCCTCATGTTCCCCTACTGCAGCCTGCACTTGCATTCACTACTGAATGCCATTGATTCTTGTTGCCAGTGGTGCTATGGAGTGCCAAATTCTGTAGCTGCAGGAATGAGGTAAAAGCAGACCTGCACTGCAGATGGGATTGGTGGCATGTGGCAGAGGACTGCATGGTCCATGTTGAAGGCGTCCATTTGCTGCCACTCTCCACCCTGGTAATCTCTGTGCTGGTGTTTGTGTTCCTCCCACCGCCCTTTCCCCCACCACAAACCAGAGCCAATTTCTTTGCAGGCTGAATCTGACCAAGTAGGTGGTTGATCCCTGAGCTGTTGGATTTAAATAGACTTCTTGAAGTTAACATTAATGCTAGGGAATTTTGGAATAGAAAAGTTAATACTAAGAAAGTATTCTTGGTATTTGTGACAGTTGCTTGCTGATTGAAAACAGATGCATGTGATTTATTCATTTAATGAAAAGACAAAAGTCTGGCTAGCTGTTTCAGGAATATGCATTTCTTACCAATGAATGTGTCTTTTAGACTTGGTTCCATATTTGAAAGATGACTTGCAATAGTTTTTGCATTTGTATCTTAAAGAGGCTCTGCTGCATTTTAGAAAGGTTAAAAATGTCATTTGATAAATCCCAGCTTTACTGAAGAAGTAAATGTCAATGTTTGTGGTCTCTGTGCCCGAGTATGTTGGATAGGAAATCAAGTGGAGGTAGTCTCTGGTTGCTATACCACAAACTAGCTCTTGAACATTTTAAAATTCAAAGGTAATTCAGTTTGTCCTCCAGTCAGTAGTGTAGGTTTAAAAGTAAACAACTGCCACAAGATCAGCTGAAGGATGCACTATTTTGTTTGTAGAACAAAATACTGTTATCACTTTTGATGTAACATTATCAGAGGGAAAACTACTACAGTATTTCATGTATAAGCAAAAACCTGAAAAGTAATGAAACTGCTGGAGGCTGGAAAGATGAGTAGGGAGTTTCCTTCTCCTTCAAGATTTGTAATCTTAAGTACTTGGGGAATATGGATAAAGTAAGAGATGCCGTAGTGGTGGAGGCAGTATAAATTTAGGATTTTGTTGGAAGGGCTGTTTAAATATAACTCCTTAACCTGGGTAGAATTTGTACTCTTTGTTAGTTCTAAAGGAGATATTTTTGTGATGATTGCAGGCATTGGCTTATTTTGAACAGCTGAAGATATCCCAGGATGCCTGGCAAGTCTGTGCAGAAGCATTAGCCCAACGCATATACAGGTAATACAATTATAAATATAAGTAATTATCTATCCTTTTATGTAGTGCATTTGTACGTGACATTCTGGTTATCACCATAAACTGCATCTGACTGGAGGGCCTGGTGGCAATGTGGTGGGGCAACTCGTGGCAGGGTAGTTCCTATAAAATATCACAATGTTGCAACCTTCAGAGTAAGGCAAGTATAGTGTTCCTCAAAACCTAGCCCCCACTGCCTTGGGATGACTCCTTGACTGGAGAAAGGCTAACACGCCCTTGCTGAGGCATTAGGCAGTCAGCAGCAGTTCTTATCTGGCAGAAGCTACAACCGTTGAGGCACTGAATGTCTGGATTCAGTCTGGCCTTTTGAGTTTGTCTCAATGGTATAATGGGAGATGGTAGATCTTGGGCAGCCTCCACTCCTCCATGTTTTTGCCTAAGTGTATGCATCAAAGATTTTGGTAACTAGTAGGGGTGCATTGATAGAGATTTTTTTGGGCCAATACCGAGGGCCAATTTTGTAGCGAGCCATAGCAACTGATACGGAACAGATGCAGCCAGGCAGCATGGAGAGCGGTGTCCACTGGTAAGTCTGTTGTGGGGGAAGGGAGAGGGAGGGGAAATTGGGTGGGGGAGCAGATCAAGGGCCCCCAGTGAGAGGAGTGGGACTAGGGCAGGGACAGGCACTTCCCAGCGTGGAGGGTGGGACACAGCTGCAAGTGGCTCACAGGCAGGGATGGCTCCAGCTGCTACACACACCCCAGGAGGGCATGGGGGGCATGTGCCCCGGGATCTGTTTGCAGAGTGAAGGCAGGCTGGGGTCGAGGCGGTACCAGGCTTTTCCCGGCGGGGGGCTGGGCCAGACTGCGCTTGGTGCAGGTGGCAGCGCTGCAGCCACCCCAAAATTCACCATAGCCCCCTGACCCCCACCCCCCCACCACTGCCACCCTCCCCGAGCACAGCGCGATACAGCCATGGCCCAACCCCACCGCCGGGAAGAGCCTGGCGCCACCCCGGCCCCAGCCTGCAGCAGCAGCCTACCCTAGCCTCATGTGCAGATCTGGGTGGCACATGCCCCCAGGTCCTCCCAGGGTGCATGTCGCGGCAGGAGCCACCCCTGCACCTCCCCACCCCACTTCACCCACCAGATGAGCCACTTGCAGCTCTGTCCTGTGCTCCGCTCCAGCTGGGCAGCGTGTACCCCTCCCCCCCCGACTCCCTCAGCTTAGGGGCCTTAATATGCACTGTGCCCTGCCCTCCCCCCCCCCCCATGCCCCTTTCCTCACAACAGATTTACCAGCTGGACCCCGCTGTTTTGCCCGCTGCCGGGCTGCACTCCTGGCCACCTGCATGTATGAATGGGGTTGTGCGCATGCACAGGGCATTTATTGGCAACATTATTAGTAAAAAAAAAACCAATTGCCGATCCAATATGGGACTGATGCATCAGTGCACCTCTAGTAACTAGACCTCTTGCGTGTACATCGTGATCTAGAGGATTGACGGTTGCCTACTAAGTGCATCTGAGACTATTAGGCAAACTGTATATTGGATTGATAGAAGTCTTTAATCTTTCTTATTGTGGAAATTTTAAAGCAGTACTTTCTCAGTGTTTTTGTAGCCCTATTTCCCCTACACATCAAATTTATAACTCTTCTTTGACTTGCTATATAGCCAGCCATACTGGGGCTATATATGAGGTTTAAGCTTCTCACCTAAGGCAGATCTTTTATTAAAGATGCTCCAAATTTAGCTTATCAGCTTAAAAGCTTTTATATCATTCTTGTTTTTGGTTTTAAAAAAAGCAAAAACAAAAACTCGGTGCACCAGAGGTTGGCTCTGCAAACTGTGTCCTTAGCACCCTGCATTAGAATCATGCCACTTTAACCAGGGTAAGAGTTGCATAAGGCAGAATAGAAATAATGTTTGTTATCTTACTGAGCATAGTTTTGCCCAGTCGTTCTTCTACATGTTTCATGTTGGAGAACCTGGATTTTGAAAATAGAAAGGCAGTTAAGTTGTAATGAACATCCTTTTTGGGTTGGCTGTTTGCAATACTTTTGAAGTTGCTTGTTTTTTGTAAGTATTGGTGATTCTTTTAGCTTTTAAACAAAAACAAAGTTCAGTAAGAATCCTCATGTTTTTATAATCTATCTCTAATTTTTAAGGCACTTTTACAACTAGCACTTCAGTGTGTGGTTTGTGGTTATACCACTCAAAGCTTCCAAATCCGTTTCTAAAAAATAAAAAAGGTGAAATTTGTCTTCAAATTTTCAAACACTTCTTTGAAGGTTGCAACATCCCTTGCCTCCTCATCCCTTTCCTGTATATATAATAGCGTGTTTATGCAAGTGTATATAGATATTAATATAATTATGTGATGATCAACCTTGTTAGACTCAATGAACCCCTCAGAAAATGATAGCTGTTAGTTTTCACTCATTTGTTTTCACTACACACAAATAATAGAGAAGTTCTTTTGTTGGAAAGAACTCAGACTACAGCAGATCAGAATGTTTTTAACAGTATGAATATCTGGGTTTATCTAGTGAATCATGTTTAGTTACCTAACTGTGCTAGCATTGCATAGTGCCGTTGAAAGGACCTCAAGGTACTCCAGGATGCCATGATACCCTGGTTGAGAATCACTAATAAAACTTTTCTTTCTGTTAGTCCATTCATAGCACCTGATTAAATCATTTGTTGCCTCTGGCTATAAACAGACATCACATTGATTCTGGGCTAGTTGTGCCACAACCTTTCCCTGAATTGAGAACTCATGGGATTGGTGTGTCCACACATCACTCTTCCAATAGGACTTAAAGCAGGGATGGGCAAAATGCAGCCCATGGGCTGAATGCGGCCTGCCAGGCCAGCCTATCCAGCCTGTGGGGTCCCTAAAAAATTTAGAAAATTAATATTGATCTGCCACTGGCTGCCTTTCATGCGGCCCTCGATGGCTTGCCAAAACTCAGTAAGCTGCCCTTCACCCAAAATAATTGCCCGCCCCTGGTTTAAAGAGTGGCTGAGTGCACCACTGCTCTTCTGCCAGCAGGCATCTGGAGAGAGCACATTCCCAGTGTGCCCTGTGATGATCAAGTGTCTGTAGGTTCCCCTGACTGCCAGCACTGAGCAAAGCGCCCACTGGGTATTCAAATTGTGGATAGCAAAATTCTCCTAGGAAGGACTTTAGTGTGATTCATTGTGCATCTTGTGCAGTGCAGTTTGTATTTCCAGTGCATTTATGCTGCCACCGCTGACTGGCCTAGAACTTCCACCCATCAGCTGCTATGCATCTGTGTGTGATTGTCACTTTGTAGACCTTGGTGGCCCAGTGGTGTGAACTTGTAAGCAAGATTGAGTGGAAAAGGTGACATTGGTGGGATCTAGCTGCCATGACTACTACTATTTGTGCCAAGACCAAGGGAGCAGTACTTGTGGGGGTGCTTGCAGCCAAAACAACAGGTGTCTGTGGTCACATCTGACTCCTAATCTGCAGCAGCAGCTGCTTCCCTGAAGATATTTGGCTGCAGGTCAGCACATTGTGGCCAGGCAGATGTGGGAGCACCCACACACCATGGTGCAGCATTTCTGTACCAGGAAGATGAGCAGCAACTGGTGGGAGTAGTTTGTCATAGCCCCTTGAGATGATGAGCAGAGGAGTGTGAACTTTTGGTTATCCCGAGGTACCTTCATGGAGATTTGCACCAAGCTTGCTCCATGCCATGCATACAGTGGCAGGCAGCAGTGATGCAGGTGCCCTTATCTGTGGAGAAGCATGTTGCCACAGCTTTATTGAAGTACCTGACCCCAGATAGATTCCAGTCCATGGCAGATCATTTCAGCATTGGCAAGTTGATGGCTGGAGAGGCAGTGCACAAGATGTATGGTACTGGTGATCTAACAAGTGATGCTACTGTGAATCACACACCTTGCTGATCCACAGGAGGTTGCGGATTTGCCAAACTGGTGTTCCCCAACTGCACTGGTACCCTTGACAGCACACACACATTGCCATGCTTTCTCCTGTGCACTGTAAATTCATCAACCAAAAGAATTACTTCTTCATTGGGTTTTGGGCAGTTCTGGACCATCACAGGTCATTTCACGCGCATAAATACCAACTGGGTGGACGGGGTGCATGACCCCAGGATGTTAAGGAGCTCCCTTCTCCCTGAACTGATGGAGCAGAGAAAGTTTGCCCCTGGTGTGCTTGTCCTTGAGGTGGTATCAGTCACTGTACCACTACAGCTAATCGGGGACCCTGCCTACCCATTGCACCTGTGGCTGATGAAGCCTTTGAAGGAACTGTATGGCTACCAGCTCAGCAGCTGCAGAATGACTGTGGAGCATGCTTTGGAGGGTCTAAGCTCGCTAGAGATGCCTGAGGATGCCCATGTATGCTAGTAAGTGCAGCATGTCTTGGTTTGTGGTCTCTGCATGTCTGCTGCATAACGTCTGCAAGGCCAAAGGGAGTCCCTGCCTGAGCCATTGTCATTTGAGGCAGAACAGCCCGCTGTTCCTACTGGTGCCACACCTGCAAATTCTCAGAGGCCAGTTGCCTGGCACTGTGTGTGAGATATGTGCTGCTATGCACTTTTCCAGACTCTGGGCTGAAGGTTGGCATGGTGACATGTAGAACTATGTCATGTACTAGATTTAAACACTGCCAATGAAACTCATGCTTTTGTGTGGCTGTCTCCAGTGCAGGCATTGGGAAGGGTGGTTGAGGGCATGTGCACAGTGGGCTTGATAGTATGGAGAAATGTTCAGCCAGGTGCTGAGCTGTGCCCTGGGGATGTGGATGTGAGAAGGGAAAAGCAATGGTGAAACTTGGACTGTGGAAGGTTGTGGGTCCCATGAACCCAGATGGAGGAAGGCAGGAAGGAAATAGAGAGGAGAAGGAGGAAGAACAGCTATGGCTGGCTGGCCATGCGCAGCTCCTCTTGCCTTGCTTTTTCTTGATTTGTTGGGCTGTTGAAGCCAGCTCCTGGGTGGGAGGGAGGGAGATGCAGCTGGTGCTAGAACAAGTGGGCAGCACATTGAGCCACTGTTTTCTGGTGCTTTTCAGGCCCATGAATGTTCTTGCCCCATATGTAACTGAACACTGTGGCCATAGTTTGACAACACGCAGACCTTTTATTAAACATTACAACAAAAAAATGGGAGGTCAATGGAACAAGTAAATAAATGAAATTAAAAAAAAAAAAAGTAACCTTGTTACCATCACTGCTCCGTAAATGTGAGCATGCCATGCATCTGGCGTGGCCACAGCACTTGCAAATGGTGTATCCCTAAAAAAAAGTACTTGATCTCAAATCATTCTTAATGACAGTATCCTTTTTTAATTGACTAAGTTATGTAATTAAAATATTACCAAAATGAATGAAATGCAACATAAAACAAATACCATATTTATTCAAATACAAGATTAGATTTTCCCCCACCACCCAATCAGCATTTGGGGGGGGGATCCTTTCATCTTACATTTGCATACAGGGAAACTGAACTTAAATACATTGTCTATTTTTTGAACTGCTGCAAAAAGCAGCACGTGCTCAACAACGAAAACCAACTATGAAGTTGATTTAAATGCGGCCAACACTGAGCCATGACTATAAAGTTTACAGCCCATATTGGGCAAATATGGTGTTGGGAACCTTCTTTTCCCTATGTGTCCCTTTAAAAAAAACAAACAAACCCAAAAAACCAAAAACCCCAAGACAAAAAAAAAACAGGCAGTTGCTTCCCCCAGGAGGGAGCAAACAGTGGGCTTGGAAATGCTCCACTCTCTCCAAGTGGTATTGCAGTAAGCTCTAACACCCCCCCCCCGATGCCAAAAATACTAATGGGAACCTTTTTTAAAATTATTTTTTTTTTTTTATTCACAAATTTTAATAAAAGTGCGCTTAGCACCCTACACTTACAAAGCTTTACATATTAAGCATTCTTGTTTTACCAAAACTTCGTATTGTAAAAAACAGTTACATATCAAAACATATAACTAGATATATTAAACCCTTAAACAACATACATAAACCTCCCACAAAAAAACTCTTACAGAACTATTTTCTTCATACAGAACCCCATGAAAAACTATTACCTCAGTAACCACTTTAAACTCGCTGCTCCTCCAGTCAGTCTTTTCTGCTGGTTCAATGAACATGTGTATCCAGTCCTTTTCTCTCCATCTCTTCTTTTCCAATCTCTTCCATGTCCTGATTGATGTAATTCTTGCAGTTCCAGCTTCAGGGACTCTTTCAGTAAAAGCCAACCCCTTAAAAACTAAACCCTTATAAAAAGTTTCTTACTTTCCATAAACTAGTTTTAATACATGCTAATAGAGTCCTTAATAAAATTTCCTTCATTCCCTTCAGTATGAGTCCATATAGTACCATCTTCTTTGCTAACAACAGGTTTATTTTGGTGACACTCAGCAGTGGACCCTTTCCCACACCTGCTTTGCATATATACACTCCCAAAACATGCCCCACTGTTTTTTCTTCCCTGTACCTGTCTTTTGGGCACCTTGATGAACTCATCAAGCTCCATCTGTTGTACCTGTCTCATCAGCAAGATACTTCTTATAGCCATCCATGCTAGGTCTTCATGTTCCCCTTTTAGTTGTTTACCTCCCCCTACTCCCCTCACCTTCTTCACTTATTCTTCTGTGAAGTTTGCCACTAGTGCCACCCTGTATCTCTCCCTTACTGTTTTTATCAATTTCTTTATGATCCCTCAGGACCTCCAGCACTACCATCCCTATTTTATATCTCTGCATGAAACCTTCCATCTTGATATAATGAATCAGCAGTTGCCATGCCCATGGACTCTTCAAAGAGGTCTGATATACTCCCCATTTCCTCAAAATTAAAGCTGTGTGAAATCAGGTGATATGCGCTCCCTCTGTTACCACCTTGCATACTGCTCTTACATATTTTGCATAGACAAATAATCCCAAGTCTTGCAGCCCCCATCCCCTGCCATCTCTTGTTTTGTGCAGTTCAGATCTAGCCAAACTTTCTCTTCTGGCATTCCAGAAGAACACACATGCAGGGCTTGGCAATGGTCACCAGGGAGCAGTTCAATGGGTGATAGTATGTCTCTGGCTCTGACTGCCTCCTCTATCTTCCTGTGGTTAGACCTTTGTTCTATAGCCTGTGCTTATTGCAGAACTTGTTCAGGACCTTATAGAACCACAGTTGCTACATGATCCATGGTCTCCTGTTGGTCGGCATGTACGCCCCCCCCGCTCCTCCCACTGTCTTGGATGTCCTGCAAAATACCTAACAAGAAAGGCTGTTTTGGAATCTGCACCAGTCGCCAGTTTACAGATCTGGCTCGTGTACCTTGCCCACATGGAGTGGATCTTCAACAAAGACCTGCAGAAAGAGCACAGAGACCTGAACTGGCTAGTAGCTCATCAAGCTCTCCCAGTGAGAGCATGGAGACCCAGAGAGGGGCAGAGAGGTCAACCTAGCTGCACTACGGTAATCTGCCAAGGTGCAAAAGAAATTATCAACCACATTCTATGGCTCTGCCTGTACACCAAGGAGGTGTGGAAAAAGGTAAATCAACTCTGTGAAACGGTGACAGGGGTCAGACGGATGATGAGAGAAGCAGCACTATACAGGCATCTGACTAAACACCAAGGGAGCCTGACAGCCTGCTTCAATCAGTTTGTGTCCTGCATCAGGAGCACCCTGTGGAAGTCCAGGAACCTCCCGATGTACAGGCACACGAAACTCAAGGTTGCAGACTAGGTTAAAATGGTTATGCGCGAACATTGGCAACATGGAGGGGGTGCATGCGTACCCCCTAAGATTGGCAGTGTGCTCCCTGAGAAAAGCACTGCTGACGCTGCCGGTGGCACCTGTGGGTGGTCACCCTGCGGCGCCCGCCCTCTTTTCCCCCCTCTCCCCCCCGCTGCCAACACCACCGGCAGCGTCTGCAGGGGGGCCCCGCCCGCCTCCGCCGCCGGCCCCTGCCGGCGGCATCTGCAGGTGGTCGCTGGTCAGTACTCGTCACCCTTACTGCTGACACGACTGCAGTTGCCTGCGAGAGCTCCTTGCTTGCTGCTGCTGCTACCTGCGGGTGGTCACAGCATCCTCTCCATCCTGTCCTACCAATTTCTGGTGGTAGGACTAGAGTTCACACACATGAACGCCACATGCTCCCAGAGGCTGGGGCAACTCTGCCTGGCAGAGGGACAGTTGGCACAGGCTCTTCAAAGACCCCTCTCAAGGGGAAGTGAACAGTGATAGTGAAAAAGACAGTGAGGCAACCGGATCAAGCAACAGTGACTATGACAGCAGCAATGACAAAAGCAGCAGAATCACTAGCAGAATCACTAGTGATGGTGACACTGAATGAACTGAGAGCTTAAAGCTCGCAACTGGGGCTAGTACCAAGAGACAGTCTAATTGAACCGAGAAAAGGAATATGTATGGGTGTGGTTATTGTAACGTACATGGGTGTAAGTTTTTTGGGACAGGTCTAAGGTTTTGAAAGTGGGTTAAGGTTTGTGAAGAATGATATTCTAGTTAGTGTGTATTTGTGTCTGTGTTCATGTATGTATAAATATTTATATAGACAGATATAACTATATATATGTGTATATATGTATATATTTTATATATATATATAGAAAAAAAATCAATATATATAGAGATCTTTATATACACACCAATTTCTGTATACAAGTGCCCAAGTGCTTCCTAAGGAGTGTGTGCTAAAATTCGCAGCAGTTTCAAAAAAGGTGAAATGCATCAATTCTGGATGAACTAAAATCTATGGGTACTATATGCAAATTGCTATAGCTATGTTTATTCAAGGTGAGTGTTTTCAAATTCACTCTTTGCTTCCAGGTGCTCAGGGAGAGCAGGGTCTGACAGAAAGGAGGGAGTGAAGGAATTGCAGGGGGAAAAGTCAAAGGGGCAGAGGTCAAAGGGCTACCTGACACTGATTTATTATACAGTGGGAGGGGACAAATTCAAGACAAACCTCCAATGATAAGATTCTATACCTGGAAAATTCTATCAAATTTATAAATTTTCCATATATAGAATCTAATGGGGAGGGAGAATCTTATAATCAGGGTCATCTTATATTTGTCTAAATACAGTAAGTTATTACAGGGAAAAAAATCAAACCTTATTGTGCATAATGGCGGCTCATTTTCATGGACTGCTGAAGTAATGTAAATATTCCATCAGCAACATGATGAGATAGTAATTTTGCACCTTTAGCAGAGATCACTGTTTGCATAGTTCAAGGAGTGTCTTTTTTCTGGAGGAAAAAAAAGCTGCATTATTGCTGTTGTATTAAATGTGTTTTTTTTTTCTTTCATCATTACAGTGATGATCACATCAAGTTCTTCTGCTTTCAAGTTCTGGAACATCAAATTAAATTCAAGTAAGATTTTCTTCTTTATGCTTATAATGTGAATTTCTTTTAACTTCCCACTTAACCTCTTTTGGCAAAGAAAATAAGATTTAAAGCTGCATTAGTGACCTCCAAAGTTATTTTTCCTTTAAGAACTAGACAGTGAAACCTTGATTATTCAGCCTTTTAGACAGCTTTCATTTAGTTTTGGTTTTGAATCATAATGTATATTGACTACGTTGACAAGTCCATCTCCTAACTGAACAGGGACATATGGCTTTCATTAACATTCTGTTTTGTTTTACTACTATTTTAACTTTAAGCACCAGTAAAGGAGTCTAGCATAGCTTTGGGGACTTAAAGATATTGATATATTTTGATAAAACTTATTTTGCTAAAAATTTAAGTAAAGCATTACAATTGAAAATTTAAAGCATCAGAAGTAAAGGAAAGCCAGAGATTATGATTGTCTGTACAAAAATTATTTATCTCTATTATGCCTGCGCATTAATAGTCTTTAATTACATAGTGACATACATGAGCTTTTAGTTATTCAGTCTTCCATTCTCTTTTTTTTTTCTTTTCTTTGTGTTGCCCTAGAACTTATTTACTTCACACCATTGATACTTTGCACAAGACCAAAATTCCCAAGTCCTGGGAGTTTTTGTGCTAAGTTTTATAAATTCATTCATGTGAGATGTTTTATGCATTTGTCCGTACTTCAATGCTCCTTTCAAAATCAGTGGTATTTCATTTTCCTTTTATGGCTGAGAACAAAGGAGAACTTAAGGCTAAACCTATCAACTTTTACATTAATTTGCATTGCCACACTTTAGAGATTTTGGGTCTCTAAGGTACTTGGAATTTTTATAATAGATTTATTCAAGGCTCTGTTCTAATTGAGCCCCCTGTGTACTTGGCACTTCTTCAGAGAGGTTGGACAACCACAAAATGAGGAAAACCTGGTTAGTGGTCCAGCTGTGGAAACTTTTTTTCCATTCTCTTTCTCATTCACAATACTTCCCAGTATCTACAGCAAATGATGTAGGGACTGTTTACAAAACCAGCAAACACTATCTGTACCAGCAATCTGTCGGCCAAGTATGGCCCACATCCCAAAGTGGGTCAGTTGGAGTGGGAATTGTATATAATCAGAAGGCCATTTCCCTGCTACACTTTCTAGTATCTATTTCATTTTAGTGAGGTGTTAGAGCTTTTAAAATAATAAAAAGTTCATTGATGTGGACAAAACAATATTTTTCCTTGTTTTTTCATCATGGTGGCAGCTTAAACATTTAACAGCAGGCTGATGCCCTGCATGGAGATTGTTGCAAACTTTAATCACTCAAAGCTTTTAGCAACTGGAAACAGGGTTGTAAGCATCAGCTTTAACTACAGGTGTTGCCAAAGTGCTGCCTGTGATGATTATACAAAACTAGGCAAGGGGAGTCTAGGAAATGAGCAACAAGGCCCAGTTCCACTCTCAAATCATATCAAACCAGTTGTGTTGTTGTGTTTTTGAATGTGTTTTAAGATGTCTTTTAGTAAAGAAATTGACTTGATTAGCATGCTACATATATTGTGTTTAAATCAAGATGAAGAGTTGTGGCTCTGTTTTTAAAAAAGCTGATGATAACCAGGCAAGAGCCATTTGAATTTTAAAGTGACCTGCATAACATTTATCTTTTGAAAAATAAACTTGTTCAGGACAGCTGAATTTAACTCAGAGGATTGCTGGTATTTGGAATGACCTTCAGTTTTTCATTATTAATATCACAAATGCAATAAATTATCTTAATGTAAATGCGGTATTGTAATTAAATTTCTCAGAGTTGAACAATACCAACCATTACTTTCCTTTCAATGTCAAGATTTTTTTAAATAATTTAAAATATTAATCTTCTCAGCGTAAAATCCTTTTTTGTGTTGTCCTTATAGTTTTTTCTTATTGGCCTTTTGTTGCCCCTTTCCTAGGCTCCCTCTGCCAAGTTTTGTGTAGGCATTTATAAGAGGTGGCATTGTGGTAACACCATGACTAGTATACCTAATAGATGATATGAAAAGGCTGTAAGGAAGGCTGGTGCTAGAGCAGAATATGACCGCAGCATGACAATGAGCTCAGAGCATTAGAATAAGATGTCAAATAGCTTTGATTTTTAAATAAGTTACTAAATATTTGGCAGTCTCATTCTGTAATGTGTGTGTGAGAATTTCTGTGGTAAGCCTTTCATTCTTCTATGAAATGAAAGGCTTTGAAAGCAGTACAGTATTTGAGTAACTATTTAGCTTTGCCTATATTTAAACTTGAACTAAGCAAGCAAACACGCAACAAAATTGCTTTTTTATTTGAATGGTGTATTGTTACAGATATTCTGAACTTACTGAAGTCCAGCAGCAGCTAATTAGGGAAACGCTTATAACATGGCTACAAGCTCAGGTAAATGTTTTTTTTCACTTTTACAATTGTTTATACAGAACAAATTTATTAATCAGGTTTACTATTATATTTCCCATACCAGTTTAAAGGTTTGAAACTAGGTTTAAAACTTGTTTTCTTTGTACCCTTAATAAAGATTTAACTACTTGATGAAAAATGAGTTCAAACGTGATCTAACAAAAAAGCCCTGTACAGGCTGGTGTATGTTTTGAAATTACTTATTTTAGTCAGGTTTATACTATCATGTTTAATGTTTTGTCTCTTGAGATGATACTGCTGCTTTTTATTCATACCCCCTATGTCATGGAATAACTTGTCAGTTACCTTGAAGCATTAAAGTCTTCCTGTTGCAGGTATAACTTGGCTCTAGTTTATTGGTGCACTGTCTTCCTTGTTCTGGATATTCCCGTTGTTTTAATTTCTGGATATTGGAAAAGTTAGCCATAGAGACGGGCAAGTAGATGTCGGTTCAATATCAGATCAGCACTGATATAAAGAAAATTGGCTGTATTGGAAATCAGCCCAATGCAGCTGATAATTTGGCTGATACATGCCCATGCGTGCATGCACCCACAGCAGAGCATGCAGGCAATGAGGAAATCCCAGGACGTCATTCTCCCGTTGTACTCGGCCTTGGTGAGGCCGCAGCTGGAGTACTGCATCCAGTTTTGGGCTCCACAATTCAAAAAGGATATGGAGAAGCTTGAGAGAGTCCAGAGAAGAGCCATGTGCATGATCAGAGGTCAGGAAAACAGACCTTATGATGAGAGGTTGAGAGCTATGAGAGTCTTCAGCCTAGAAAAGTGCAGGCTCAGGAGTGATTTTGATGCCTGCCTATAAGTTTATAAGGGGTGCTCACTAGGATCCAGGGGAACGTCTGTTCACCAGAGCGCCCCAAGGGATGACAAGGTCAAACGGTCATAAACTCCTCTAAGACTGTTTCAGGCTGGACATAAGGAGGAACTTCTTTACTGTCTGAGCCCCCAAGGTCTGGAATAGACTGTCACCAGAGGTGGTTCATGCACCTACTTTGAACGCCTTCAAGAGAAATTTGGATGTTTAACTTGCTGGGATCTTATGACCCCTGTTGACTTCCTGCCCCTGGGGCAGGGAGGCTGGACTCGATGATCTTCTGAGGTCCCTTCCAGCCCTAATGTCTATGAAATCTATGAACACAGCTAGGCAGCTTGGAGACCTGCATGCAGCTAGTAAGTCCGTTGTAGAGGAAGGGGGAGGGAAGGGGTGTGGGAGCGCAGATCAACGCCCGCTGTGGTGTGGGAGGGAGTGAGGCAGGGGCTGGGGCAAGCGCTGCCCGGATGGGGCAGGGCACGGGATGGAACCATAGCTCCTCTGAGGGGGGAGGTATGGGGTCCATCATCGTCGTCGTCGTCGTCCCCCCCCCCCCCGGGCTGGCAGGGGGGGGGGGGGGGGGGGGCGGCGGGCAGCAGCAGTGCTGGGAGGGGGGCTATGGGGAGGGCTGCAGCCACCTCAAACTTTGCTGCATTTCTTCCTCCCCCGAAGCCCCCCTTCCAGTGCTGCTGTCATCCACCTGGGGCAGCCCCCACTCAACCCCTGCCTCCAGCCACGCACCAGGAAGAACCGGGGTTATAGTGGGAAAGCAGCGTTGGTGCTAGGAGGGGGGTTGGGGAGGGGGCTATGGCAAAATTTGGGGTGGCTGCAGCCATAACCCCTCCGTCATCTGCCCAGAGCCCAGCCTTAGCTAAAAAGAGTCTGGCGCAGCCCTGGCCCCAGCTTTGCAGCTTCAGCCCGCCTGCTCACCCTGCCCCACGCAGATCCAGGGGCACATGCCCCCCCATGCCCTCTTAGCGGCAGGGGGGGGCCCCGCCCCCCCCCCCGCCGGCCAAGGATGCACTCTCTTCCACACCCTGCAGCTTCAGCCCGCCTGCTCACCCTGCCCCACGCAGATCCAGGGGCACATGCCCCCCCATGCCCTCTTAGCGGCAGGAGCAGCCCCCGCCCCCCACTGGACGAGCCATGGCTCCATTCTGTGCACCATCCTGCCTATCTGGGCAGTGATCTTCCCTTTCCCCACACCCCTTCCCTCCCCCTTCCCCTTCCACCACAACAGACTTATCAGCTGGATACAGCTGTATTAGAAATCAGATTGGTATCTGCCAACATGCCTCCTTAAAAGTTGGTTATCAGTATCAGCCCCCAAAATCTCTATTGGTGCACCCCTACAGGCAAGATCTTAACCTATCTCTCTGCCAATGTATTGGCCAGCATGTTGTCCAGTGTAGTTTTATAACAATCAAACAATAAAGTTTTCTAGCATTTTTCATATTGGATATTTCCCTAGTTTCATTCCTAACATACATCTTTTTGGTTTCCATACTGAATGACTCTCTTCCCTCCTTGATAATGTTTGCCTATTTCATTCAATATGAGAAAGCTGAACGTATAAATGTCTGGCTACTTAATGTTCCTATATTAGTCAATAGTCAGTCAATGTTTAATTATTTAAGCATGCTTCTGTTAAAGCTATCCTTCCAACCTCTTAACTGCTTTCTTTTGCTTGTCTCTAAAGGGTGGGTTTGTTTTTTTTTTGTTTTGGGGGGGGGGCCTTTTTGTCTGTGTTTGTTTTTTTTCCACGCAAGTCATAGTACTTGAAAGAAGTTAATTAGTTTATGATGTGTTGTACTTAAACTATTTGAGAGATTGAAGAGTGACTTTTGGAATGATGAAAAAGTAGAGTTACTCTGTTGAAGAGAAATTTTTCCATTCTGTAGTGGAGGGCACAGGAATACATTTCTATTTCATAGCAGTCAATACATTTGATTTCCATACCTCTTATTCTTCATATCTATTACTGCAAGTGAAATGCAATTGAGATGCAAGCCAGTGGAATCCAATAGTGTGCTAGAACCAGGAATTTAAAGTAGGTTAGGGTAGATCAGGGCACATACCAGCAACTTTCTTTTTGTCAGGCTGCTTGTACAAGTTGAAACTATCAAGATTTTATGATTTTTCCTGTGCTGCTTTGCTTCTAGAAGGAACAGAGAATAAGGAGAGGGATTTAGTGGGGATTGCAATCTGAGAGGCTTCAAAAAGATGTATACTAGAATCTGAGTGAGGAGTTTGTGGAAGGAGGTTGAAAAGAAGAGAGAAGTTTGAGAGGCGACCTTGTGGCTGCCTACAAATTCATCATGGGGGCACAGAAGGGAATTGGTGAGGCTCTACTCACCAAGGCGTCCCTGGGGGTCACAAGAAATAATGGCCATAAGCTAGCAGAGAGCAGATTAAGGCTGGACATTAGGAGGAACTTCTTCACAGTTAGAGTGGCCAAAATCTGGAATGGGCTCCCAAGGGAGGTGGTGCTCTCCCCTACCCTGGGGGTCTTCAAGAGGAGGTTAGATGGGCATCTGGCTGGGGTCATCTGAACCCAGCACTCTTGCCTGCCTATGCAAGGGGTCGGACTTGATGATCTATTGAGGTCCTTTCCGACCCTAACATCTGTGAATCTACGTATAGGGACAGGGAGGATGGGGAATCTTCATTTGTTGAATAAGTGAAAATTGGCAGTAGTTCAAAACGAGCAGTATCTTTGGTAGCAAAATATAAGTTGAGAACTACCAGTGTGTGTTTTATAGAGCTCTCTTATTTTCATTAAACTGTCAAGGCTGCTTTATGTATGTGTGCGTGTTCAGCATCAAAAGCTCCTTTTTTTCTACTGCATACCTGTGACTACCTCATATGAAAATATAATGTCACCTTTAACTGTCTATAACTGTATTCACCAGGATCCAAGATGACTGAATTTAAGATGAACCCCCAGTAATTATTTTATACGTGAAAAATGTATACATTTGTTATAATTTTCCATGTATAAAATTTAATTATTGGCTGGGCATCTTTAATTTTGTGTCATTACCTCCCCCCACACACACACACACGCTGCTGCAGTGGTAGAGGGGCGGGTGGCAGGGGGAATCAAGTTGTCTGACCCCTTGCCCCTTGTCTTGTATACTTCCCCCATCCAGAGCCTTTATGCCCTGGCCCCTGCCTACCCCCGGTATTTGTCACATCCTGTTTTTTTACCCCCACCTCCAGTGCCTGCATCCCTGGCACCTGCCACCCACTGGGCATCATAAACTGACTCTCCAGTCCCTGCCTGGCCCAGAGTTACCATCACTGCAAGCACTGCTGCTAGACTGGGCTCTCTGCCCCAAGCTGTAGCAGGGTCTGAGCCAGAGCCGCTGACTGCAAGCAGTAAGGTGTCGGAGGCTTGGTGAGGGGAGCAGATTGGGGGTTAGGGAAGGTGAACAGCTGTGGCTGTGACTCCAGCCCCAGCACAGGGCCAGTTGGAGTAGCAGTAGCTTTTTCACTGCCTCCCTCCTCCTCCTGCTCTCTCCTGCCGCTCAAACTTGGACTTGAATTCAAGATGAGGCCCATGTTAAATGGGAGAAAAACCTCGTCTTGGATTCAAGTAAACATGATTTATTTAGATAAGTTCTGCTTAATGTTTTAAATAATAGCTTGTTTTTCTGAATTATATATCTCTACAAGCTTACTAACTTTCATATAGCTTACCTATGTGTGAATTGAGATGGTGTTGAATCAATCTGCTAAAAGAAAATCAGTGATTCTTTTCTAGTTGATAGGGGATCCATAAAAAGAATATTTTCATATAACTTTTTTTTTTTCTCTTAGATGGTGAATCCCCAGCCAGAAAAAACTTTTATTCGCAACAAAGCAGCCCAAGTCTTTGCTATGCTGTTTGTTACAGAGTATCTCACAAAATGGCCCAAGTTTTTTTTTGATATTTTGTCAGTAGTTGATCTTAACCCTCGAGGAGTGGATATGTACCTCAGAATTCTTATGGCTGTTGATGCTGAGCTGGTAGACCGGGATGTAGTTCACACATCAGAGGCAAGTAATATTGTCTTGTTCATGTTACGTTGTGCTAACATGATTTAGGATTAAGAAATATTTTTTACCTGACTTTCAGCAAAAGACTTAAAGCAATTTTGTGTTTCACCACGAAGAACCTTTCTCAGAGGGACACTGCACATCAGCAATTGTGTTTACAAATGCATTTTTTTCCATTAATCTTTACATTGCATGGGGAAAAAGATTGTTTGACTTAAAGCAGTGTGCATTGGTATCACCTAGGAACAGTATTTTCTTGGTATGTGAGAGCCAGCAAAAGGGAAACCCAGTGAATTGTTGACAACTTGATGTTTCTTTTAATTTAGGAAATTAAAAAAAATATTCCAGTTTCTCGTATACCTTTATAACAGAAGGTGTAACATTAAAAATTACATATAGTCTTTTAGGAGTTCTTCTGATTTAATGTTTAGCAATTTGTGTCTTTTCAGAAAAGAAAATGGCTTATTATGCATAGTTGTTTTATGAACACAGGAGGAAAAGAAAGAATCAGTGTACTGCGGAAAGCACACTACAAACTTTTTTGAGTTCTTTCTAAATTAATAAGCACTAGAAAATGCATGTGAATTATGAATTACCTTGTTGCATCTTTCAAGGGCATGCAGGATTTGGGGAATATGTGAATATGTAAAAGGCATAAGTTCAGTGATTTCATATAAAACTTAACATTTTTCTCACCCTTCATTCCTATTCATAGGAGGCCCGTAGGAATACCTTATTGAAAGACACCATGAGGGAACAGTGCATTCCAAGTCTGGTGGAATCGTGGTACCAAATCTTACAAAATTATCAATATACTAATTCAGAGTTGACCTGCCAGTGCCTTGAAGTAGTTGGAGCTTATGTCTCCTGGATAGACTTGAACCTGATAGCCAATGAAAGGTAAGAGTTTTTTCTGTTCTTCCTGTAATAGGACTGGTGATGACTGCCTTGTAGCATCACTTCTGTGAGTCTGCATTAAAAAAAAATGTGTAAGGGGAAAGTGCCATACATTTTCCTGTGCTCTGCTCTCCTGCCAAGAAATAAGTATTCAGGTTACTTGTATGTTACACGTTTCTAAAACAAACGTGAGATGGATCTGTATTTAAGCTGTATAGTTTTGTTTTCAGTCTCCATACATTATTTTGTATACGTTTGGTTGCAACAGTCGCGCTATGAAGCCAAACTGAGAGTAGGAAAAAGAAAAATGTAAATTATTATAACTTGTTTTAGTCTGTCTGTGAACTTGCATTGTGTTTGTACGTGAATTAAAGTTGTTGTCTTTTTTCAGGTTTATAAATATGCTGCTAGGTCACATGTCTGTAGAGGTTCTCCGGGAAGAAGCATGTGACTGTTTGTTTGAAATTGTAAATAAGGGAATGGATCCAGTTGATAAAACAAAATTGGTAGAATCTTTGTGTCAAGTGTTACAGTCTGCTGGCCTCTTCAGTATTGATCAGGTTAGTAAATTGATAATATTTTGGGTAGAGACAAGTTTTAAATAGTGACATAAGCAGGGCTTTAAAATTTTTTGCCACATACTTGCCAGAGGACTAAGCATGTAAAGATATGAGGGACTGATTTTATCTGTACCGTACTTAATGGCACTATATTAATTAAATCTCTTATTTTGTTGTTATAATTTATTCCATCTCTGGTTCTAGGACTTCTTCTTGGCTTCTTACAACTCCTTTTCTTCTTTGTTTCATTTGGGGTACCTTTTATGCTTCCTCACACCCCCCCTGCCCTCCGTGTTTTCACTTCCACCATCATTTCTTTACTGTAATTTTTTGTTTTTAGATTACCTAGTTACTCATGCCTGTTGTCACACACAACCTTGAAAACTTTTATAGAGAAATTTAAATTGCTCACAAAAGTTACACTACTTAGGCATGAGCAGTACTTTTAAATAGGGATCCCAGTGTCAGCATAAGGGACTGCATTTCTTCTGGGGTTGTCCTTTGGACTCCGGTTAAAACATATCTTCTGAAATGTGAAGCACTCCTCCTGCCTCCCATCTGGCTGCTTGAAAGCAGGAAAAAAATATTCTTCAAATCTTAGTGTGTGTTATAAGAGCAAATAGCGAGTCTGTACTATGCAAACCTTCCCTTAGCTCAGGGGTTGACAACATTTTTGGGCAGTGCGCCAAAAACACCCACAGCCGTGACTTGTAAGAAGTTGGCATGACCACAAGGGGTCTGATCCTTGTTTTAGCAGCACAGTCCTGGTCCCTTCCCCACTGTCCACCCTGAGGGGCGTGTGCCAAGCAAAATGCCTTCACATGCCATGCTCTGACACGCATACCAGGGTTCACTTACCGTTTCTTAGCTGCTTTGAGGGAAGGTCTTTGCTACTCAACTCTTAGTCTTGCATGTAATTTTTATATCTTTTTGTTTGACCAGAATTATAACTTTATACCTAATACTTATTTTTTTTTCATTTACCCTTCTAAGACTTCTCTCAAGGGAGATGTTTCATTAATGCTACTTGAAATTGGTTGGTGTTTCTGCAAATTCAAACATAAATCTGCTGCAACTTCTTGTTTTAGGACAGAAGAGTTGATACTAATAAGTTCCTAGTTATCTTTTTGGTCCACTGTTCCTAAAATGAGCTATGAGTTGTTATTTCTGAATAGGGTCTTTCCTGTACAATATCAACTTCTTTCTGTGTTTTGTGTTGGAACAAAATGTACGTTCTAATGGAATCGGAAAAAATAACTTTTATGTGACTTCACCCTGAGTCAGGGAGATGAGAATAAAACTAACCAGTCCATAAGAGGGAGCAGGTTGCTGTATTTTGGAACATAATTGGTAACTGTGAATGTACTTTTGCATTGCTGTTATGTTTTAATCTGCCAGGCAGCATTGTCAAATGTCATCTAGACCAAGATTAGATACATTTTTTCTTAAATGTACAATGTACCTGTGTATGGGTGTATATAGTATCAATCATAAATCCATGTCATTTGGGGTAGCTGAAGTTCTGCTACAGTTGTAAATATGATGTTTCATGGTGTTCCTGCAGGAAGATGATGTGGATTTTCTAGCCAGATTTTCTAAACTGGTTAATGGAATGGGCCAAGCACTCATAACCAGCTGGACAAAACTGGTAAAAAGTGGGGATATGAAGAGTGCTCAAGACACCTTGCAGGCTATTGAAGCAAAAGTAGCCCTAATGTTGCAACTGCTAATTCATGAAGATGATGACATCTCATCTAATATTATTGGGTTTTGCTATGACTACCTTCACATCTTGAAACAGGTAGATTTGAAATACTACCAACTACTACTATTAATTAATATGAGCATGGCAACTTATTCGTTTTACTGTATTTACCCAAATCCATAATGACCTTTACTATAATAAGAGCCCCCGAAAGTTAGATTCTATACATGGAAAATTATAAATGTGTTATAATTTTCCATGTATAGAATCCCATTTTTGGGAGGGTCATCTTCAGTTGAATCCAAGATGGCTTTCCCTCCCCCACCATGCTGACTGAGGGTAGGGGAAAATCTCATCTTAGATTTGAGTAAATATTGTAACTGCATAGGAATATTTACTTTGCAAGTTTCCTTAGTGTGTATTTTCTTAAAGGCTTTGTAGCTTGGTAATTAACAGTAACTTTTAGTCCATAGATATACTGCTTTATACAGCTATGCTCGATTTAAAGGATGTGATCAGATGTCCTGCGTGTTCTCAAAATCTACTTGAAACATCCTAAGAGTTTTCATAGAGGCAACTAACTATTAGACACTGGGAAGTCACTTATAATGAAAGTTAACATTTCAAATATGTTTTATTGCAGCTTTCTGCGTTATCAGACCAGCAAAAAACTAATGTAGAGGTAAGAGTAGTTAAAGTTTCCTTTTTACCAAATATTGAATTTCATAAGTAACATTATTTTGGCCAACACTCATTCTAAAATTTTCAGAAATAAAAATGTTTTAATTTTAAAGGACTTTTATAGAAAAATTCAGATACTCTTTGATTCTGACATAAGTCCTTCTCTGCAGAAAGTCTCACCTCTACTCATTTTCCTTTTCCTATACCCATTGGCTCTCTTTTCCACCTACTGCCCCTCCATCCAGTTGTCAGTCACTTCACATTTTTCTCTAAGGCTTATAGGCCTTCAGATCTAGTTTTGTTTAATTTCTTAAGCATGAAGCTCAACATTCTCATCCATTCCGTTTTTACCTTTATTGAATATTTTTTCTTGGAGAGATATTGGAGCCTAGTTTTTTAATGCAAATTTTTATAAATACCGCAAAGTAATATTCTGAAAATGAAGAGGGTTAACATCTGAAACACGGGGTGAGCTTTAATTAAAAAAAAAAAACAAAAAACCAACAACTACTATGCTAGGCCTTTTTTAATTACGATGGAGCTGCATTTAGTGACCTTTTAAGGTATTGAGTCAAAATCATAAATATTTTGCTTGTAGATTCTTTTTTTTAAAAAGTCTTTGGTTTCTCAGGTTTTACATCCTGTGTATAGATAACAGGTGAAACTTCTATAGTGAGACTTTTACGATAGGAAGATTAGCACAAGTCTTACTTTTGTTGGAGTAATGAGAGCCAATATGCCAATGCAATAACGTTCTGCCTCCCTGTCTTGTCCAGTTACTTTGTTATTGTTGAACTCTGGCATGTAGCTTTGCTAGAAATTGTCAATTATAATAAAATCTCTCCTTTTTAAAAATAACATTGAAGCTGAAAATGTGGGTAATCTCAAGTTTCACAAGTTCTGTGGAATCTCATTTTCATTAGGCCTTCTTGAGGTTTTTATTTTAGTTCAAATAAACAGTGGCTATTTTAAAATGCCTCCAATATTGAGGTATGGAAAGTATGGAAGTGAGGTATGGAAAATGAAAAGTAGGGCAAAGATTGTGTTTTATATGTAGCTTTCTATTACTTGTCTTTTCCTGTACACTGATACATTTTTGTCAATTTTCTTTTAACATAGGCAGTTATGTTGGCTGTTATGAAGAAATTGACCTACGATGAAGAATATAACTTTGAAAATGAGGTAGAATGTTATGTATGAGTAAGCTTGATTCTCTTGTAGCTGCCAAATGTTGGTTCGATTCAGGGGTGGCCACCCCGTGGCCTGGTTGCTACAAGTAGCACAGGCTGCCTTTTTGTGTGGTTCAGTGCAGATAGGGGAGGGGATAAGCAGTACAGCAGTAGAAGGGGTAGGAGGCAGAAAGCAAAGCAACAGGTCAGGCAGGGAGCATAGGTAGCAGAGTAGCCAGTCGGGCAGGGGAAGGGGGATTGGAGTGCAACTCTGGCAAGGAGTATGGGGCTAATTTGTAACATGCCTGTCAAAAAGGTTAGTCCCTACTGGCTCAATTCATTGGGCATTTGTCTTTTAAGACAGAGGAATAACCTATATGTGAGCAGGTAACTTTGTTTTCAAATTTAAATATTTAAATTTTTAAAAATGTAAAATGTTCATTTTTTAAACTTATCCAAGGAAATATTTTAGACTTGTTCTCTTGATACAAGAATCTTCTTTTCAAAACAGTGGAGGCTATGTTTACATCAAGAAAAAAAGAGGCCTTTAGGTCATTTATAGACATGCTTGGGGGTGGGAGGAGAGCTTTAATTAGCACAACTCTGAGAGCTGTGCTAATTAAAAGTGCCCAGAGTGTCATGAGTATCAGCATCCCCGAGCTGAAAAATGGCAGTGGGACATTTTGAACTAAAGCTCGTTGAATGAGCCTTAGTTTAAAGCACACAGCTGCCATTTTTCATCATGGGGACACTGATGCACTTGTTGCCGGAGTCTGCTGAAGCACAATAATTATCACATTCCAGCAGACTCGATTACTCAAGTCTGCTCGGAGCAGCCTCCCTACACATGTATAGGCGCCCTTAGATATTAGCATTTGGGTGATAACTACTTAGATTTCTGAGCTGAAATGTGATTTGAATCACTAGAGAACTGAGCTGAAATACTGGTGCCTAGCTATGCTACCTGAGCTATCCTTGCTCTGCATGTTAAATTTTCAAAGTATGGGCTTTCTATTGCTGCATGTCCAGAACCTGAATGAACCTATCTCATTTGAAGCTTCCAGAAGACCTGTACAGTACAACACATAATAAAAGGGCCTGTCATTATGATATAAGCAACTAGGATGACTTTTGTGTTCAAAGGAGTATTAGATGCCCAGTTAATTTTTCACAGTATAATTTGTATTAGGCTAAGTTTGGCACAGGTGTAATATTGAAATGTTTGTCTTTTTGAATATATGACTGTGGATTATATGAAGAAATAATGTTACAGGGTGAAGATGAAGCAATGTTTGTGGAGTACAGGAAACAGCTGAAACTACTGTTGGACAGACTAGCTCAGGTCTCACCAGAGTTACTTTTGGCTTCTGTCCGAAGAGTTTTTAACACTACGCTTCAGTAAGTTTATTTCTTCTAGTTTGTTTTATGAGTCTTTTCTGTTTTATGTAGAGCTTAGGCTTGAACAGCAATGTGGGTTACTGCTTTCTTACGTGGCTTTTGTGAAAATTCTCAGGTAAATTTTTCTTAACTTTTAGTGATCAGTGTCTTAGTGCAGAAGATAAATACTTTATTCTTTTACTCCTGTTGTTTTAGAAAACCTCTTGAATAGTTTTGTCAACAGGTTACTCTTTTTTTTTTAGATTCTAAAATTGGTACCTTTTTTCAAACTTCAAGGGTACCACCTATCCTTGCATTTTCAGAACTACTGTTTCTCCTTTAGCCTTTCATAGCATGTCTGAATGGATTAATTTTTACTCTTAAATAATTTTCTTAAAATATTTGGGATAAATCATTCTAAACTGTCAAGTGAAGTTGTGTGAAACCTGTGGTGGTAGAAAGGGCATTCGTTTCAAATATTGGTAATATTAAGGGAGGGTAAGATGAAATGAAATAGGAGTAAGGATCAGCAAGAGCATGTTCCTTTAAAGCAGGGATGTGAAACATGGCCTGTGGGCTGGATCTGATCTGCTAAGCCTTTCTGTCCAGCCCACTAGACTACTAGAGCTCCTTTAAACGTGCAGCGAGGCTGCTCCGATGTGCTGTAGATCCAACACATCGGAGTCTGTTGGAATGTGGAAATTAATGCACTCTAGCAGCCTCTGGTGTCACTTGTATTAGCAAACCCCTGCTGAAAATAGTGGTGGGGCACATTAAAGCTTATTTGATGAGCTTTAAGGAGTCCCGCTGCCATTTTTCAGTGTGGGGGCGCTGATGCATGCGATGCTTGGGTGCTTTTATTTAACATGGCTTGCTAATTAAAGTGCCCCGCCTCCTGGTAGCACATCTGTAAACCCCCCTAGTGGGCCATCAGAAGCTTGGGGATGTGGCTAGACGAAATGACCTTCTGCAGAATCCAGGGCTCTTAGCCCTAAGTGGTCATTGTGGTTGGTAGCATGAGGGCAAGCAAGGGATGATGCAGCCCTGGTTGCCATCCCACTACTTTACCTGTCCATACTGCTGTGGCCCTACCTTCTTCTCTGCTGCTGCCAAGTGGAGGAGCTAACGCTGTGGTAGAGTGGGAGCAGGACCAGGTACCCATTGACAGCTCTAGCTCCAGCATGAGGCATGCGTTGGGAGCCAGAGCCATCACTGCATGCCCTGTGCCAAAGCCTGAGGTGTCATCTGCTGCCACTGTTACTATGTGCCCCAGACTGGATCCCAGTCCACATGGAATCCTGTAGTCTGGATCCAGCCTGGGGCATGAGGCAAGTTTGACACCACTGCTCTGAACTGCAGATTATGTATGAAGAATATTAGTATTGTCTGGCTGTTCATATTACAGTGATGATCTTTACACCCCTATATAAGAGAGTATTGTTGATTTACTGTTAGGCTTTCTCTTTAAATTAACATGGAGCTCCTAGATGAATCACTTATCTCATCTCATGGCAAATTACTAGTTTTTGTGGGGTGTAGGAAGAAGTGAAAAATATGTTGTAATAATGTTGAATCTCTTGTACCACTTCAAAAAATAAGTTGTCTTTTGGGTTTAGTTGGGAAATGCTGTCATTGGCTAATTTTGTGATGTTGATGTATAACCATATTGACTCAAATCCAGGATGAGGAAGAGATGCCTCATCTTGGATTTGAGTAACAGCCTAGGAAAAAGGGCAGGTGGGGGGGACAGGCACTAGGCTGGGGGGTAATCGGTGGTGGGGGTTGGCACAGGAGGTGAGTAGGCACAGGACAGAGGTTTGGCTGCCATCTCTATCCCTCAGCACTCTCCTCTTGCCCCCCCCCCTCCCCCCCCGAATGCTGCATTCCCCATCACAGTGGTGGGGGGAATTAATTTAAGACAAGCTTCAAATAATTAGATTCTATACATGGAAAATTATAACACTATTATAACAAAGATGACCTATGGGGGTCATCTCAAACTCCAAAGTCCTAGACTTGGGTAAATTTGGTAGCCTTTATTTGCCCAGTTAAAGTAACCGATAGCTTGTATGTTTACTCAAAACTTAGCATCTGTAGTCCTTTTCATGCTGTGCATCGCAAGGAACTTCTCAAGAAAATACTGGTAAATATATTCATCTGTAGAACTGATAGTTGGTTTCATAGAGCTACACTGGCAAGTTTGATACGTTTGGGCATTATCTTGTGTCTTTTTGATAGAAACTGGCAAACTACACGGTTTATGGAAGTAGAAGTAGCGATAAGGCTGCTGTATATGCTGGCTGAGGCTCTCCCTGTATCACATGGGGCTCATTTCTCTGGTGATGTTACAAAAGCTACTGCTTTGCAGGATATGATGAGAACTGTAAGTATTTGATGCAAGGTTTGCTTAAGTGTTTTGTTCTGTTATCTGTTGTTAAGTCTTTCATGTTGAGGAAATTGAGATGTCACTTAGCTGAAGTCTGATTTTGTTAATTAATTTCCCCTGCAGCTGGTAACATCTGGTGTTAGTGCCTATGAACATACATCAGTGACACTGGAATTTTTTGAAACGGTGGTTAGATATGAAAAGTTTTTTGCTGTTGAACACCAGCACATTCCAAATGTTTTGGTAAGTATTAACATTTGCATAAACTCCAGCTCTTCTTCAGTTATATCAGGGCTGTTCAGTAGGTGGCTTATAAGTGATATGTGGTCCCTGAAGGGTTAGCATCTGGCCCACAGGCTTCTGCCTGGCCTGGCCTAAACTGCTGCCCCTCTCCTCTTCCCCCACTTTTGCTGCAGCAGTTGAGTTCTTTGGGCTTCCTGCCCTCCTCCAGCTTTTACTTCATGCCCTTGCTCCTGGGGCATGGTAGCACAGTCAGAGAGAGGGCCAGGTGCCTAAGTTGTGCATGCAGCACAGGGGAGGCAGGGTATCTGAGCTGTGCATGTAGCAGGGAGGTAAGCCAAAGAGCCCAGGGTGCTTGTGCTTGTGCTGTGTGAGGCAGGAGCTGGGTTGGACTGCCTGCACTGTAAGCTGATGCATGGCTAGGATGGGAGGACGGTGCTACCTGTGCATTGGTGCGGAGCCCATGCTGCTAAGAGAAGTGGGGGGGACACGCAGCTCAGGGGGCAAACTGCATGCATGATCAGGAAGGGTATGGAGCCAGACTGCCTACGTGGCTAGGAGGCAGGAGAGCCAGGCTGCATGTGTGGCAGGGTGGGGGTGCACTAGATTGCTTGTGTGTCAGTGGAAAGTCTCGGGGGGTTGCTTGAGTGGTAAGCAGCCTGAACTTTCTGTGGCTTCTGGCTACACAGAAGCCCCAAACTAGATAAATAATTGAATTGTTGACTTAAGAGTTATTGGGCACAGGTAATCTTGATTTTCTGAACAAGGAAGGCGATTTTTAAAATTAAGTTGTTAGATTTTTCTGCCTGTATATAGTAAGTACTCTCCTAATTGCAGATGGCATTTTTGGATCATCGAGGTCTTCGCCATACTAATGCAAAAGTGCGAAGCAGAACAGCTTACCTCTTCTCAAGATTTGTCAAGTCTCTTAAGTAAGTAAAAATTGTTTCAAATACTACCTGATTTTTACAGTTTTGTGGATATTGAGGGAGCAGTTTATATACTGTTTTCACTAAAGCAAGTAGAGGTCAAAATGAGTTGAAATGAAGAGCGCTCTTTTGGCAAGCTCACAAAGGTTTGTAAAAATCCAGGCAGCTCTGTAGAGTCCTCCACAGTTTTCTGAATCTATGTAAAGGAGCACCTAAATTGCAAACAGCTTTGAAGTTCATCTCAGCTGGATGTTGATTCTTAAACCTAAAGATGGAGAATATAAATGCTATTTTAGCTTTTGCAGTTTTCCTTGGTGGAAGTATACTGCTGTTCTAGTGCTGTGAAGACTATAAGTAGATCATGTCCAGATATGGAAATCATGGGTACAGTCCTAGTATTTCTGTCATTTCCTACAGTGTGTGCACCTGAAAACAATTCACTCAGGGTAGCCACATGCACATTTTTTGCAAGCTAGTAGACAAGGTTTATCCTGTAGAGGTTTCCCAAATAATTATGAGCATTTTAATTTCAGATTCTATTGGTTCTGGTTTTGGGGACCTAAATACTAAATACTATGCAGTTAGGAAAGCTGCAGAACAAATCAGGTTTCAAGACTTGAAACCCTGACCCCTTTTGCAGCTGTTGACGAAAATATTTCACAGATGAATGGGGCATTTATGCACTGTCAGTTATTTTTCCAGGATCTCTTTAAACTCACATGGATGCCTCTGTATCTGTAAAGCTTAGCTCACATCGTGAAGTTTTACAGGCATAAGACTTAAATAAAAATTAAGAGTCCAGAGAATGAAATGGCATGAGAAACATGCCAGTATACCATAATGCAGGAGTGGGCAAAATGCACGGGCCAAGTCCCGGAGGACTGGAAAAGGGCCAACGTGGTCCCCATTTTCAAAAAGGGGAGGAAGGAGGACCCGGGCAGCTATAGACCAGTCAGTCTCACCTCCATCCTTGGCAAAGTCTTTGAAAAAATTATCAAGGCTCACATTTGTGAGAGCCCGGCAGGACAAGTTATGCTGAGGGGAAACCAGCACGGGTTCGTGGCAGGCAGATCGTGCCTGACCAATCTAGTTTCTTTTTATGACCAGGTTACGAAACGCCTGGACACAGGAGGAGGGGTGGATGTCGTATACTTAGACTTCAGAAAGGCCTTCGACATGGTATCCCACCCCATACTGGTGAACAAGTTAAGAGGCTGTGACGTGGATGAGTGCACAGTCCGGTGGGTGGCGAATTGGCTAGAGGGTCACACCCAGAGATTGTGATGGATGAGTCAGTTTCGACCTGGAAGGGTGTGGGCAGTGGGGTCCCGCAGGG